TCAAGTGTGTCACCTTGGGGGTGCTCCAGTATTGTTTGTTAAAAAGAAAGATGGGACCATGAGATTGTGTATCGATTATAGACAGTTGAACCAAGTGACAGTGAAAAACTAGTATCCATTACCTAGAATTGATGATTTCTTTGATCAATTACAATGATCACAAGTGTTTTAAAAAATTGATCTTAGATCTGGATACCATCTGCTTAAGATTAAAAATGAAGATATTCCCAAGACAGCTTTCAAAACAAGGTATGGCTATTATGAATTTTTAGTCATGCCTTTTAGATTAACCAATGCACCGGCTGCATTTATGAATTTGATGAATCGGGTCTTTAAGCCTTTTTTGGATAAATTTATTGTAGTATTCATCGATGATATTTTAATTTATTCCAAGAATCAGAAGGAACATGAGCAGCATGTAAGAATGGTATTGCAATATTAAGAGAAAAGAAATTGTATGCCAAACTAAGTAAATGTGAATTTTGGCTTGAACAAGTAACATTTTTAGGACATGTCATATCAAAGGAAGGTTTATTAGTTGATCATTCAAAGGTTGAAGCCGTTGTTAATTGGAAACAACCAAGTAATGCGACTGAAGTTCGAAGCTTTTTGGGATTTTTAGGATATTACAGAAAATTTGTAGAAGGACTTTCTCGAATCGCAACCCCATTGACTCGATTGACACAGAAAAATGTCAAATTTGAATGGACAAGTGAATATGAGGAGAATTTTCAAGAACTAAAAGTTCGATTAACTTCAGCACCTATTTTAACTATTCTTGAGGGGAGTGAGAGATTTGTGAATTATAGTGATGCTTCACATAAAAGCTTGGGTTGTGTATTAATGTAATATGGGAAGGTACTGGCATATGCATCCAGACAGTTGAAAGAATATGAGAAAAAATATCCAATTCATGATTTGGAACTGGCTGCAATAGTATTCGCTTTGAAAATGTGGAGGCATTATCTATATGGTGAGCAATTCAAAATATATATAGATCATAAGAGCTTAAAATACCTCTTCTCTTAGAAGGATTTAACTATGCGGCAGATAAGATGGATAGATTTCTTAAAATATTATGATTGTACAATCCATTATCATTCAGGAAAAACTAACGTTGTGGCCGACGCTCTAAGTAGAAAATCTACTGGAGTCTTAGCTCATCTAATGATCCAAGAAATGAGATTGTTAGAAGAAATAGTGGATTGGCATCCGGCTCCGTCCATTAATGGTGTGGTAAGTATGATTGCCAACATTAAGGCAGAACCCCAATTAATCCAATAGATTCGATCAGCACAAAAGAAAGACCCTCAGCTTATAATAATTGTATAAGAGGTGAAGCTGAGAAAGAGAGATGAATTCTCTATATGTAGTGAGGATTTGCTAAGATTCAACTGTCGGATTTGTGTCTCGAATGATGAGAGTGTGAAGAAAGCTATATTGGAAGAAGCACATCACTCTCGTTATACGATACATTCCAAAAGTATTAAAATGTATCAAGATCTGAAGAAAACTTTTTTGTGGAATAATATGAAAAAAGAGGTAGCACTATTTGTGTCTAAGTGCCTAACATGTCAGCAAGTAAAATCTGAGTATCAAAGGCCCGCTGGGTTGTTGCAGCCTTTACCCGTGTCAGAGTGAAAGTGGGAGCACTTCTCTATGGATTTTGTCTTTGGCTTGCCTAGAACAAATTCAGGACATGATAGCATTTAGGTCAATGCGGACCGGCTGACCAAAGCTACCCACTTTCTGCCGATTCGCACGGCGCACACTTGGATCGACTGGCCCAGTTGTACATTAAGGAAATAATGCGATTGCATGGAGTTTCGGTCAGTATTGTATCAGACAGGGATACTCGGTTTATTTCTAAATTTTGGGCTAGGCTACAGTCAGCCATGGGGACGAGACTCACCTTTAGCACTGCCTTTCACCCCCAAACTGATGGACAATTGGAGAGGACCATCCAAACTTTGGAAGATATGCTGAGGGCCTGTGTCATTAACTTTACAGGAAGCTGGGATGACGATTTACCCCTGATTGAGTTTGCTTATAATAATAGCTTCTAAGCCAGTATTCAGATAGCATCATATGAAGCCATGTATGGAAGGAAATGCAAGTCACCTATCTGTTGGGACGAGGTTGGTGAAAGAAAGCTTTTGGGGCCAAAAATTGTCCAGGTAACCACAGATAAGATAGCATTAATTCGAGAAAGGCTCAAGACAGCTCAGAGTCGGCAAAAGAGTTATGCCGATAACCGAAGGAGAGATCTTGAATTTGAGGAAGGTGATCGAGTTTTCCTAAAAATCTCACCAATAAAAGACATTATGAGATTCGGCATGAAAGGAAAGCTGAACCCATGTTATATCGGACCACTTGAAATCCTGGAAAGAATTGAAGGTGTCGCTTATAGACTTGCCTTACCACCCGAATTGGCAAACGTCCATAATGTCTTCCATGTATCATCACTACGAAAATATTAGCTCGACCCATCCCATATCTTGAAATATGAATCTCTATCGATCAGAAAGGACCTATCCTTTATTGAGCAGCCAATTTTGATACTGGATAGAAGGGTACAAGTGTTACGCAACAAGGAGATTCCTTTGGTCCGTATATTATGGCAGTACCATTCAAGAGAGGAGTCGACTTGGGAACGAGAATACGATATCCGAGAAAAATATCCTTATCTTCTTCAGTAATCAGGTACACAAATTTAGAGGACTAAATTTCTTTAAGGGGGGAAGAATGTAATAATCCTAAAATTTCAAAAAAAAAAAAAAAGAAGAAGAAAAAAAGAAACTTTTAAATAAGTGATGGTTCGTATGAGCATGATGGTCCTTAGGGACCATCACTACTTTCAAAAGCTTTTACCTGGTTTAAGCTTTTGTTTTTGCCACGTCCTTGAGTGGACGTGGGCTTTAAGCGTTTAAGCTGTAATATACTTGTTACACGTCATGTGTGAGGTATAACTTAATAAAAGAATATAATAAGGTATCGTAAGAATTTAAATAGGAGAAGTGATGACTCCCACCCTAGAAAATTTTGAGATCCCTCTCTCTAGTCGAAACGCAGTGAGCTCTTTCTCTCTCTAGCCGAATTTTTATCGGAAGCTTCATCTCAAATATTTTAGGTAAGTGACTTCATTATCTTGAAAAATAATCCGTTTTTTTTTTAAAAATGAAATGAAATAATATATCTGCTTATTATGATGAATTTTAGGCGGGACAAATTTTATGCGCAAGCGACCTCATTAACTTGAAAAATAATATTTTTAATAAAAATTGTGATATTTTATCTATGTTAGGAATTTTAAATGCTGTAAATTTTTAGTAATAAATTTATTTATTTTTCTTGTCTATTGTTAGAAAATTTTAGATATTGTTAAATTATTAGAAATAAATTTGATATTTCTGTTATTAGTAAAATTGTGAGATTTTTTTTTACTATTTTTTAATATTTAGACATGGTAAATTTCATGTGCAAATGACTGCCTTAGTATTTGAAAACTGATATTTTTCCAATTGATTATACCATTGTCTGTGAAATATTTATTTGCGAATTGACATCCCATTAGATTGACAATTATGCTAGAATGTCTTTACGAACTGCTACCTTTCTGAATTTGAGCCCAAATTATTTGACTGGGTATTTTTGAAATGTTATTGAAAGTGACTGTTATTAATGGTTTCAGTGAAATTCATATTAATAGTTTCAGTGATATGTTGAGTACATGATATTGCTACTTTCAAATGTTGAAAGAGCTTTAGAAACACTTTAAGTATGCAAGTGAACTCATCCGGTTCGCTGGTGAGGTATAAGTGGACCTATCTGGGACGTTGGTAGGGATTAAGTGGACTCATTCGGTACGCCGGTGAGGTGTAAATGGACCTGCAGGGATTAAGTGGACCTATCTGGGACGCCGATAGGGATTAAGTGACCCATCAAGACGTTGATGAGGTATATAGGTGACCTACTTGGGACACCAGTAGGATAATTTGTGAAATCCTTTGAATTATGCACTGCCGTTAAATGTTATATGCATTTCAATTATTCGGATTATACTTAATTATTTATTTTTTTAAAGTGAAACTGTTAATGCATTTCTGTTAATAGATCTCCTTTTTGAAAATATTGATAACTTTCAATCATGATTATTTTTAGGATTATGATGATCACTTATTGAGTAGCCAAACTCATCAAACTA